AAGAGGCTGCCTAACAGGGCGCTGGAGGCAGCGGTGGCAGCTGGCTGGGGTCTAGATGCCTCGGTGGTGCTAGCATGAAAGCCCCCTCTGGCTCATGAGAAGGTCACCATTAACAAGGACACCAAGGTGCCTGATGCCTGACTGCTCACATCAACAAAGACAACTACACACTAAGAAACTTTATTTCCCCACTCCTTGGAGTATAGGATCATTCGTGTAGGCCACACCAGACTCTAGCCCCTGGAAAGCCTTCACCCATGCCATCCTCAACCTCCTCAGCGATTGCTCCCTGCTGGAACAGCAGTTCCGAGAGGCCATCAAGACAAGCAAGAAGAACTGAGTAGTGGGCCAGGGGGCAGTTTTCTCTGCACGTGAGCCCAGTTTCTCTCTGTGCCAGACCCTTCTCTCCAGGCACCAAGCAGTAGAGTGGCCAGTCCAGTTGTGCCCTTCTGCAGCATCCTGGAGAGCCCCTCACTCCTGACCCCTGTGTCCTGGACACAGACTCTGTTTTATTTTCGCAATAAAGTGTGGCATGAAATGAAAAAAAATTGTTTTGAGTCTTAGAACTTACAAAGCAGAAAAGACTCAATTATAGTTAAAATAACAAACTAAAACTTCCACACATTTAATAAGGTAACAACACCTAAAAGATGGGAAAGAAGGCTGGGTAAAAGACACCAGTGAGTTAACTTTATCTTTCCAGTAGGGAGTAAATACATCTCCCCCCGCCCCCAAGTCGGAGTGTCACTCTGTCACCCAGGCTGGAGTGCAGTGGCATGCTCACAGCCACCACAGCCTCGACCAGCTAGGCTCAGGTGATCCTTTGGCCTCAGCCTTCCAAGTGGCTGGAACCACAGTTGCGTGCTACCATACCTGGCTTATGCATGGGCAACACAGTGAGACCTCCTCTAAGGAAAAACAAAACAGAAAAACCCACTCGAATTGTCTATGTTGAAACATAAAATTATGCATTAATCTTAAACATCTGAAAGACCAAATTCTCAATATTCTGCCACTTGTTGTCTTTACCAACACATATTTGGAACCCTTGTATGCAGCTATCTCCTTTCTTCTGCCAGCTGGACAAAACCAATGCTGCTATTAAGTCACGTGACACATCATTCCACAAGGGCCTGCTAGGGCAGCGTCCAGGCACCGGAGACAGACGTGAGAAAAGCCAAGTCCCTGACCTGAGAAAGCCCACACCCTTGGGGGTGTGTGACAGCAGGTCAGTGGGCAAGAAGCCCACAGAAGACCTGGGAGTCAGAGGGCAGGCGGCAGGGAGGGGCGGCCATCACACACAGGGCGTCCCATGTCTCCAGCAGGGACACAAAAGCAGAGACAGAGAGTTCAGAGTGCGGGGATGCTGGCAGCCAGAGGTGAGGGCTGGGGCAGGGGCTGAGGTGGGCACCTGGCAGCGTGGGAGGAGATAAGGCACCCAGTGTGGACAGAACCTGGCAAGGAGACAAGGTGGCTGGTGTGGACGGAAGTCAGAAAGGAAGAAAGCCAGGAGTGAGAGGAATCAGGAGGGCAAGGCCACCACGCAGGGCCATGTGCAGAGATTCCAGTGGCTGGCGGGACTGGCAGGTGTCCCCATGACTGCTCTGCTGTGCTGAGGACAGACGCCAGGAAAGAAAAGCAGTGCTGGGCCCACTCTGTGGATGGGAGGCCATGTGCAGGCTGGAGGGGCAGCTGGTGGCATCTGAAGAGGGTGCATCCCAAACACACTTTGCAGGTAAAGTCCATGAGGTACCATGTGAAGACAGAGACAAGAAGGACCCTGAGGCCTCAGCCTGGGAGTTTGGAGGAGTAAGCTGACAATCATGGTGACATGGCGGGGACAGGGCATGGGGCTCGGCCTGCCATGCGGGTCTGATGCTGGCTGGCACTGAGTGCAACAGAGGTGGTGGCGTGGCTGAAGCTTGGGCAGAGCCTGGCTGGACAGGACTGGACAAGCCCTTCATGGGAGGCAGGCCTCAGTGACCAAAGAGCAACGGGATGGAGAAGGCGAAGGCATGGAGGTGGTTGCAGGCCTGGAGCATGCCAGGGTGGAGGACAGAGGAGGAACACTCGCTGCGAGGAGGGGCGCGGCAGACCTGGGAGCCAACACGGGCAGGGCAGAACGACAGCCGCGTTCTTCCAGGACTGTGGGAGGGACGCGGATTCCGGATTTGTGCGGTTGTAAGCAACACCTTTCCGACATCTCTTGTAGTTTGATGGGAACGGAATTCTGGGGCCCAAGGACCGGTAAACTTGATGCTGAGGTTCATTACCAACTTGTCTAACGACCGCAGGCAGGAAGATGAGCAAACTGCCACAACCAGAGAAGGAGCAAAGCTCTTAGCCCACCCATCTGCTAGGCCAAGACGTTACCTTGTCTTACTGTGCATTCCTTTATAGCCAAAGGTGAGCATTTTCTCATGTTATTAATCACTGTCTTTTTTCAAAAACCACCTCTGCCTGGCTTTCTAGAACGCAGCTCGTGGTAACTGACTCACAACCCCACTCAGTCCTTGCTTCTTTCCTTCTGTTACTGAGCTGTGATCCTGGCTGGGACTGCCGAGAAGCAGGACGGGCCCAGGCACTCAGGTGTCTTGTCTTCCCACAGGTTCCACGTTCCTTCTGCAGACGCGACGCCGTTATTCTGCAGCCACCTCTCCGCGGGAGAAAGTGCAGTGGCTCCTCTGACGGTCCAAGGGTGCGGTGGGCAGGCCTGAGTCACTCCCCCCACCACCTTGTCCCCGCCTACCTGCATGCCCCTGCCCTCAGGGAGGGCTCAGGAGCCGGCACTTGCTGACTGACATCCTGTGTACCCACCCCAGTGCCCATCACGTAGTGGGCACTCCCCAAGTTTATGGATCAAGGGAAACTCCTCATGTGAAAAAAAGGTTTTCAAGGCAGTAAGACAACAAAAGGAGAAGCAACCCCCTGGTTATCCAAGATTCTGCCTGGGAGGTAGGTCTAAAAGGAAGGTTTAAGAAAACCAAGTGCATAACAGCACCCACACACGCCACACTCAAGAGTGACACCTGTGCTCTCCACAAGCTGTCAAACACTGTGCTCTCACAGAGAGCACCATGCTGCTGCCAGCCCTCTTGCAGCGTCACAGGGCCTCTTCTCCCACTTTGTCACTCAGGAGAGAGCCACACTGTCCTCAAACAAGAAGTTTCCTCACTCCTTTGATGATTAAAAACTGTTTTTTTAAAGTCCTAGTACAGTAAATCCTTATGAATGCTCCCGAGAGGTTCTTAGAAACTGCAACTTTAAGTGAAACAATTTAACAGCAAAACCAGTTTTCCCATAGGCCAATTGATTGACATAAACGAGCTAAGTTTCTACGGCATATTTCTGTTCCCAAAATCATCACCACACTTCTCAATAAAGACCAAAGCACACCTACTATAAACACTGAAGTAAACGTGAGCTCTACATGCATCTAAGAAAGATCAATACAAACAAGTGTAGTGATAATTTACCCACTCACTCCAGTTCAGGGTCAGCGGGGCTCTCCTGGAATCTTAGGGCGCCAGGCGGAAGCCAGACTTGGACAGACATCACGTCATTGAAGGGACACACACACTCTCTCTCTCTCTCTCTCTCTCTCTCTCTCTCTCTCTCTCTCTCTCTCTCTCAGACACACTAACACACATACACGCAGACTGGGACCTTGGAAATAGGCCAGTGTACACAGTACACACGTCTCTGGGATGTGGGAAGCAGAACGCAGAATAACCGGTGGAAATCTCGCCGATGCGGGCACACGGGCAAACTCCACCCAGACAGCGGCTGGACTCAGCTCTTTCCTCGTCCGTGTTCTCACGAGCGATGCTGCACAGGACACTCCCCAAGGGCCTGCTGTGCCTCCTGCCTAGATCGAGTCTCCGTCACTGCAGGAGAGCAGTCCTGAGTACACACTGCACAATGGCTCTCGACCTGCCCAACCACTGTCATGACTTTTCTTCCCTCTCCTTACGACACTCACCATTTTCACTGCCTTTCTGAATGAGCTGTCACACAGATTCACGACTCACAGAATCCACAGAGCAAGTAAAAAGGAAGCTTAGACCCAAACTGGAGAAGGCAGGTGAGGAAGAGGGAGCAAGCTTGGGTGGGTGGTAACTGGAGTTCTGAAAGACGCTCCTAGAAATGGGGCAGGAAAACGGGGCTTCCATTCCTCCAGCACCCCTGGCCACAAACAGGGGCTTGGTAGGGCACAGAAGGGGACAACTTCAGGTTCAAATTGCATGATAATTGGGCAAGTTAAGCTGGGCATGAAGGTTCACACCTGCAATCCCCGCATTTTGGGAGGCCAAGGCGGGATGACCGCTTGAGGCCAGGAGTTCAAGACCCTTTCTCAAAAAACAAAACAAAAAAAAAAACTTTTAAAAAATTAGCTGGGCGTAGTGGCACGCACCTGTGGTCCCAACTACTCAGGAGCAGAGGTGGGAGGATCACTTGAACCCAGGAGTTCAAGGTTGCAGTGAGCTATGACTGTGCCACCACACTCTAGCCTGGGTGACCCTGTCTCAAAATAATAGAATACTTTGGCAAATTAAAATAGGGCCAAACCTTCAAAACACTCGAACTTGTGCTCTTCCAAGATGGAGAAACAAGCTGAAAGGCACAGCAGGAGCCAAGTGTTCCGGGAGAAAGCAACCGCGCCAACACCCATGGCTGAGAGGCGAGACATCCTGGGAGTGGCCGGGAGGCTGCAGGGGGAGGCTTGCTTCACACTCAAACCCCGTGGGCATTCACAGCCACCAGGGACGACTCAAGCCTGGAGCGCCTATTTTTGTCACCCAAGTGTCTAGGTTAACGGAATCAGATCTGAGTTTTCTTTCCTCTTTTGTCCCTCTCAGGGCATGCCTCCCTGCCCGCTGTGTGCGCGGGCCTGGAAAGCAGTCTCCCCCGGAGGCGCATGTGAGCACAGAGCCTTCAGAGGTGTCCTCCTCTCCATTTCAGGGCAAGGACGGGTCTACACGCTCGGCCTGGGCACTCACGGAAACGAACGTGAAGCAGAGGCCGGCTCCCCTCTGCGCGAGCTGCTCCGTGTCCAGCCGCGGCTTCGCCAGCATCACGGACATGAGGGTGGGCAGCGCAGACTGCTCCTCAGCCACCTCCTTGGCAGCACTGCCATCGAGGCCGTAGAGGGGCTGCTCCACTCGCCGCTGGAAGACACGAGAGAAAACACACACGTGACATGGGAGAGGGCTGACGCTGCTGGACACGCCACAGGCCGGCAAACAACACTCAAACGCAAGATGATGTCGGACCAAGAGAGCTCTTGGAAAGCTTTCTGAAGAGCATCACACACCGTCACTGGATCACAACCCATCTAAGGCCCGAGGCAACACTCCACTCCAGCTCTGTGGCGCGGTGAGGGTTCTGCATTTCCACGACTCTCAACTGACAGTATTACTTAGTCCAGACCAGCAAGCCAGTCTCCTAATGGCCTAGTGCTACCTGGGAAACGCGACCCTACCCTGGAGGCAGATGACATCAGGATGCCGTCCCAGGGCTCCACAGGTAGGGCTCATTTCACTCACAAGTCTGTTCTCATTACGCTACACTTAAGTGCAAAAGTCCAAAATAAGTGCTAGCGGACAAACTCCGCAGTATACTAAAAACAAGTCACCACGGTTATGCATGACTCATTCTAAAATGTAAAAATAGTTCAGCAGCAGCAAATCGACTGATGCGATTCATTAACCACATTGTAATCAATTATATGAAATTACATGTGATGTAATTCATTACACTAGTGTTAGGCAGGAAAAAAGTGATTCTTCCTTTGGATACCAAAAATGATTTGCACCTTGTTGGGCAACTCTTAAAAACCTGGAACTATCCATCTTTAATACAATAAAGAGCATTTTTCAAAAGTCAACATAAAACACCATAATTAATGGCACTACACTGGAGACCCTTTCATTAACGTTAGGAACCAGACGGGCTCACACAGTAATACATTTCCACGTCATTAAAGACATTTTAGTCATTGGAATAAGGGGGGAAATATGAGGTATAAATGTTAGGAAATAGTAAAGATTTAAAAAGTGTTGCTTCTGGATGATATAACTATTCATAAAGGAAACCAAGGAAGTCAACTGAAAAACTACGTTAACAATTAGGAGAACGTAGTTAAGATGGCCAAATACAAAATAAAAACACAAAGTCAATAGTTTCCCCATATACCAACAATTGATTATAATCAGAGCATGTAATGGAAGGAAAAGTAGATTGAAAATAGCAAAAGAATCTATAAAATACCTAAAAGTAAGTTTAAGAAATGTTCAGGATACATGAGAAAAAAAATTATACAGCTTTGCAGATAAACATAAAAGATGATCTAAAGCAAACTGCAGTACCATGTTCTTGGGTTCAAATTGTACAGACAACGAATTTCTCTAAAAACCGATTAGGTTTTTTATTTTGCTTTTGGCCTTCTTCTCCCCTGGGGACAGGGTTGTTGTGGTATAGTGATCAGCTAGGGTCTTCCTCGCTCTTTTGGGGTGCTTTTTTTGTGGAGTTTCACAAATTAATTCTAAGGTTCATTTGGAAAAATAATCAAAATTAGCCACGTAACCTTTTTAAAATATCAGGGAAATTTGGTGAGATAGCAAAACATACTACAAAGCTACATTAACTAAAACAGCATCTTACAGGTACAGGAGCAGCCAGATGGACCAGCAGCACAGAACAGAGAATTCAGAAACAGACCCATATAAATAGGGCTGCATAACTTGTGATTAAAGTGCAACTCCAGTTGGTGGGAACACATTAAACGATGGCAGGTCATTTGTGTAGGTGTCACTACTTTCAGCACACATACAAAGTACAAGAAAATATGAACACATTTTCATAACTTTTCAGCAATGAAGGGCCTTTAAAACGTGACACTGAAAATATAAACCATAGAGGAAAACCTAGAATAACAAAAGACCCCTAAAGTCACAAGGGAAAAACACTGGTAAATTTGACAACTTCAGATTTTTTATATCTGGATTATAAAAGTCAACATACTACAGTTGAAAGATAAGATAACAAACAGGCAGAAATATTTACAATGCTTACAATAAACAATGTGCTCCTGCCCATCAGTAAAAAAAAAAACCCCACAAAAACAGACAAACAAAAAACCCAACAAATATCCCTAAAGAGACAAGGGCAAGAGACCCCACGGTGGCTCAGCCTGTAATCCTGCGCCTTTGGGAGGCTGAGGTGAGTGGATTGCCTGAGCCCGCGGGTTCGAGACCCACCTGGGCAGTGAGACCTCATCTCTACAATAAATCAAAAAAATCAGCCGGGCGTGGTAGCGCATGCTTGTAATTCCGGGTACTTGGAAGGCTGAGGCAGAAGGATGGCCGGAGCCCAGCAGTCGAGGCTGTGGTGGCCGGGAGCGGCCACTGCACTCCAGTCTGGGCGACAGAGTGAGACGCCAACTCAAAAATAAATAAATAAAATTAAAAAAATAAAAACTAAAAAACACGAAGGCCATTAAATGTCATTTCAGTGTTACATATCACCCAAGAATGCAAGTGGAAACAAGGTTTTTCTCTCACTGGTAAAAATGGCAAGGATACAATGCAGTGTTAGTAGGGTGTGCAGAAACCGGGACTCTCAGACTGTAAATAATATAGCAAGTCAAGTGAGGACATTTTCAAATGAGCATCGTGTTTAACCTGAGAATTACAATTAGGGAATGTTATCTAAAGGAAGAAATGCACCCGCACAGATGTACGCACAAGGACATGCACGACGGCGCTGTTTAAAGAGCGCTAGGGTGACGCCAGTCAACACACAGAGCCGAGGAGACAATCACATCAACACACGAGAGCACACGCCACAAGGTCAATGAGCATCCACCAGCGCACACCTCCGGGACAGCTCTTCAGGCGGGGATTTTCTGTTTCAGCACATCTGAATTGTCGAGCTTTCGCGATCAGCATGAATGCTGCAAGTTTTCATTTTTATGTCAGAACACAGAAGTAAAACGTGTGAATCAAAATGAGCCTGACAAGGAGTTCAGTGCTGCGTTCGTGAGCGAGTCCTCCCCAGGTCCAGCGCTCCCAGCAGCCAGATCCGGCACTCTCAGCTTGGGCTCCAGACCCCTTATGACGTCCACTCACCACAATAGTCTCCCCACACGGGGAGGGCATCTCTGAAGCTGCAACACTAAAATGAGTAGCCTGCCACACATGCAACCCATATCTGCCAAGCGTGGAAAGACGTTAGACATCTCTAGGCCGGCACAGTGGCTCATCTTGCAATTCCAGTACTCTAGGAGACGGAGATGGGAGGACTGTTGGAGCCCAGAAGTTCAAGAACAGACTGGGCAACACAGTGAGACCTTGTCTCTATAAGTAATAATAATGATAACAAAATTAGCTGGGCATGGTGGCAGGCACCAGTAGTCCCAGCTACTCAGGAGGTTGAGGTGGGAGGATCGCTTGAGACCAGGAGGTTGTGGCTATGGTGAGCTGTGATCATGCCACGGTCCTCTGGCCTGGGTGAAAGAGTGAGACCCTCAACTCAGAAAGCAAACAAACAAACAAGAAATATTGCAGCAGGCTAGGATGTCTGAACCAACCTTTCCCTGGAGGGGGATAAAAACGACAAAGACAGAATAAAATATGGGGGAAAAAAAATCAAAAGCACTGAGGAGTATGTGAAATATCAGAGGTCTGCACGGCACGAGACAGGTAAAAGCGCCCAAGCCACACACGACCCAAGAGCACCGCAGATCTGAAACCTCTATTCCAGGGTACCATGTGCCAGGCAGTCCCAGGCCAAAGCCCACGCAGACATGGGCTCATCAGGAAACCCTCCCAATTTGAAGCTGGGCCTCCCTGGGACTGCGTCCTCCAGGAAAGGGCCAGCCGGAAGAAAGCACTCCCCACCCTCGGAGGCCAGGAAGCTGCCCTGGCAAGCAGGGGTGAGGTTCTCCTGAGAAATGTCAACATTACCCAACTCAGCACTTCCTGGTGGTTAAAAGACACAAACCAAACGAACACGAGCCATAAACTCTGTAGTTTAAAGCAGTAGGTAGATTCTCTAGGTGTTTCGAAGAAGAAAACAAAAACACTCCCTGGAGGAATACATCTTCGGTCTAGATCTTAAAGAATCTCGCACATAGTTTTTCAGGAGCAATGAGGAACACAGTTAAAAAGCGAAGCGTAAAGAAACAAAGCCAGGAGCAACAGCTCAGAAACGAGAGAGAGCAGCAGTAGGCAAACAAAGACTTCAGATACCAGAGTCATCAGGTGTGGATACAAGACAACAACATCTACTATATTAAAAAATAAAGACAGGTTTGAAAACATATCTACAGGGAACAGAAGTTTCTTTTTTAAAAAAAGGCAGTAGCCAAAATCAAGAACTCAAGCAGAGATAAGAGAATAGAGAACGTGGGGAATGAAAGGCGAAAAAAAGAACTTAACGATCATGGAGCATGACAAAAACAAAACAAAACATGAAAAAGGAGTCAGAGGCCATGGGGTGGAAGGAGCTGCCTGGTGCATAGCTAGGAAGGACTTCCTAAGAAGGGGGGGGCAGGTGCACTGGCTCACACCCGTAATCCCAGCACTTTGGAAGGTGGAGACAAGAGGACTCTTGAGCCCAGGGGTTCGAGACCAGTCTGGGCAACCTGGCAAGACCTCGTCTCTACAATAAATCAAAAACTTAGCTGGGCATGGTGGCGTGAGCCTGTGGTTCCAGCTACTTGGAAGGATCACCTGAGCCCAGTAGGTTGAGGCTGCAATGACCATGAGTGTGCCACCGCACTCCAGCCTGGGTGACAGAGTAAGACTCTGACTCAAGATAGATACATAGATACATAGATAAGGGGGGTAGGGAGAACAGTACCCAGACAGCAGAAGAGACAGTGGCTAAGAATAATCCAGAACAGAGGACAAGCACCAGCTCACAGGTTCCAGAGGCCCCACAAATCACAAGCAAGAGAAATGAAAAGATGTAACATGGCAAAATTACAGAATACTACAGACAAAGATTGTTAAAGCAGCGAGGGAAAAAAGTAGATACCTTCAAAAAAACAAGTGAATGGAGGCTAAGTCAGAGTCTTACTCTGTTGCCCAAGCTGGAGTGCAGTGGCACACTCACGGCCACCGCAGTCTCAGCCTACTGGCCTCAGGTGATCCTTCCGCCTCAG